ACAAGGTCCGGGCTGAATGGTTGATGCTCCCCAACCAGTTCCGTTAATTTGTTCTGAGTTATCAAAGATGTGTATGGCCGCGCATTTGTCTTGATGAAAGACAACCCCCTTCCTGTTGGTCCATTCTGTCCACTTTTCTTTGATTGCTTCGTTCGATCGGTCGAGCTGTGCACAATACATGACCGAAACGATAGTTTCGCCAGGTGGCAACAGCTAATAAACAATTCCTTTCCAGTCCCACCAAACACTGGCCGGCCTCAGCGAGGTGCACCATAAATAACTTTCCGGTACGAAATCTAGCCAAGCACTCCTGGGTCATTCGATACTGCAGCATTTTCGCTGCACACTTCACAGATTTTGGCATGTTCTTGCAGCGGTTTTGCCTTTTTATGAAACCTAGACATTTCACTACATATTTTCGAATTAGTATAACTTTTTACCGTGCGACGAATTAGAGAACTGTTTCGCAAAAAATGAGATGGTATGTTACTTTTAATGCTTTTGTTTGTTCGAGACAATCGGGTGAGTGTTGCTCGAGATAGGGGATTGGAACCGGCTTGTAGCGAAAAAAGGCGGAGACTCTTTGTACAAACCAGTACTACCATTTTTTTTACGAAAAGTTGATCAAAAGTACAAACTCTTTCAGGGAGACTGGACGATGTGCACTCGATGCGAATCTTTTAGACCTCCTCGTGCTCATCACTGTCGTGTATGCCGTCGTTGCATTCGCAAGATGGACCATCACTGTATGTTTTCGTTTTTTTACGGAGGGTTAACATTTCCTAATTTTGAGCTTCGTGTGTGTTAAGAGGGTATAATTACAACAAGATATAAAGAGAATGATAGTAGGTAGATTCAAAAGTGCCGAGACATATAGAGGAATGGCAGAAAAGCAAAGGGGATAGAGCAGCGGGCTACTATACCATTTGGAGGCTAGTACCTTTAGCTGTATCTGTGAAATTTGGCGAACCTACCCACAGAAGAAGTTCTCGAGAAATTGAAAAGAAGCCGGTGAAAATCGGCGCCGGATTTTCAAATCAGGCGTCATAAGAGGAAAGTGCGCTGCTCAAATTTGACCTGCGCCGGACCAGTAGTTGTGTGTAATGGTGTTCTCGAAATACAAGGTGGAAGGTTTGGTTCAGGAGCCCGAAGAAGGAAGAAAGGAAAAAATTTGTTGTCGTGGATGGTCCCATAATGTTCATCCTGCACAAGGAAAAAGTCAGCGCTGAATGTCTGATCACAGAGCCTGGACCTTCGAGCTTCCCCGCGAGTCTGACATCCCAGCTGCAACTGCTGCCCGAGTTATGTCCGATAAACTGAGGATGGTCAAGAGGGTGGTACCTAATTTTCTTGTAGAAGCACGAACGCAGTACCGATTCTATGCCTCTAGCAGTAATGTTCTCAGCATGAGATGTCATTCACAACTGTGAAAACGCACCCCGGCCATAGATGAAGTAGGGCTGGTCTTATCGAGTTCTACCGTGAGTTACGTGGGTCATGATAATGGATGATCATGATAGCGAAGAATTCCCACACAGTGACTCTCAGGCGGCTCTGTACAGAGAATAAAATCGTCGCTGTCTCGTCGCTTTCTGTGGGTATTGCCTGTTCCTCGGCAATCAGATCGACAAATGGATGGTACCACACAACTACAAGAAGGCCACCGTTGCTCGTCATAGTGCCAGACCCCGAGTAACTGTATTGTAGGGCAGTGCTGGGACACAAACAATACTGAGACCTGGGTTCAATCGCCCCATTCGCCCGACATAAAGCCGAGCGATTCCAATTGTTCTCGTCAGTCGAGAGTACTCTCCGACGGCAAACGCTACAATGTTTTGTCATTCGCCGAAATTGGCATCAACAGCAATTTACTCGCACTTGTTGAAAAATCGAAGGTACCAGAGGTCCAAACGCTTTCGGGGCACTGGGAGCGGGTCATTGGTGAAGGAGGGATCTACTTAACTCGAAGCCAAAATATTACTTTTTTATCTATTTTTCTCTTCGTTTTATATGAATAAAATCTTGGTCACTTTTGAATGGGATGACCTAATACAAGAACAAAAGTCGTTAATCTGACAGAAGCTAGAGGAACTGATTGCGATTTGTGAATTTACTCGGCAATTCAGTTGTCAGTGTCAGGGTACAGGCTCATGATGGTTGATGTTGTAAGCACAGGATGACTGCTGAAATTTGCATTTTACAGTTATTTCTTTCCAGGCCCGTGGGTGAACAACTGTGTAGGCGAATTCAACCAGAAGTTTTTCTTACAATTCCTGTTTTACGTTGGATTGTCCAGCTGTTACACAGTGTTGTAAGTGATTTTGTTCTTCATGTTCAGGTATTGTTTAGACGTTTGACTCGCTGAGGGTCGCATTGATGTGGGAGAATACGGACGAGCTATGGGATAGGATCTTTTTGTGGTGAGGGAGAAAGAACTTTGCATCCCAATGAAACACATAGAAAGTGATTACAAGTCTCTAAAAACATCCACAAGGATTGCCGAGTTTCTTTCACATCAAGAATGCGAGCAGCAAATGATTTAGCCGGTTTGCGATTGAGAAA